GAGCAGTGGATCACTCGGCTCGCGGGTCGATGAAGAACGCAGCCAGCTGCGAGATTTGGTGTGAATTGCAGAACACTCAGATCACTGATTATTCGAACGCACATTGCGGCTCCCGCTCCTCTGCGGGAGCCTCGCCTGTCTGAGGGTCGCGTGATGCATGCAGAGGTTCTTTCCTCGGAAGGTGACCAAACGGCCCCTTCGGATTCGTCCGTGGGCTCAGAGAACGATCTCTCCCGGGGATCGACCGCAAACGTACCCCCGGGAGTAAGACAGATAAAGGGATAACATGAAAACGAGAAGCGACCTCAGATCAGACGAGAGAACCCGCCGAACTTAAGCATATCAGTAAGCGGAGGAAAAGAAAACAACAGTGATTCCCCCAGTAGCGGCGAGCGAAAAGGGAAGAGCCCAGCGCCGAATCCCTGCGTCGAGAGGCGCAATTCGGGAAATGTGGCGTAAGGAGTGCGCGCAGGTCCGCCGCAGGGTTCGAGGTAAGTCCCCCTGACAGGGGCTTTTCCCGTGGCGGGTGCCAGGCCCGTGTCCTCGAGCCCCGTCGGCGGTGCCGGCGCCTCCGGAGAGTCGGGTTGCTCGGGAGTGCAGCCCCAAGGCGGGAGGTAGACTCCTCCCAAGGCTAAATACGACCGCGAGACCGATAGCAAACAAGTACCGTGAGGGAAAGTTGCAAAGAACTTTGAAGAGAGAGTTCAAGAGACGTGAAACTGCTCGGAGGGAAACGGGTGGGCCCTCGAAGTCCCGACCTTCCGCGGAGACTCAGTCGCTGTCGAGCGACGCACTTCTCCGCGGGATTCTAGGGAAGTCGCGGCCGGTCGCCTTCTTCTCTCCGCCTCCGGGTGAGTCCGCCGCGCACCTTATGGAGCGTCGGCGTCCCCCGGGGGCCCGATGCAGAGAGGGCGACCCGGTGCCCGCACGGGCCAGCTCCTCCCGCCGTCCGCCTCTTCCGGGCACCTGAAGCCCGTCCGTCGCCGACGCGCCTCGTCCCTCGTGGAGGGCGGTCCTTCGGGCGACTCCTCGAAGTCGGAAATGTATATAATGCGGGCGGAGGGAGTTGCGGTTCCGCGACGAGTAGGTCGGTCACCCACCCGACCCGTCTTGAAACACGGACCAAGGAGTCTTGCTCTCGTGCGAGTCTAAAGGTACACTAGAAGCCCAGAGGCGCAGCGAAAGCGTAGATCGCGATCCCTCCTCTGACTCGAGGGGGGCGCAGCGACCGCCCGTGCCTGAAGTGGGAACGGAGCGAGAGCACGAGGGCAGGGACCCGATAGGTGGTGAACTATTCTCGGGCAGGACGAAGGCCGAGGAAACTCGGCTGGAGGTCCGAAGCGGTTCTGACGTGCAAATCGATCGTCCGACCCGAGTATAGGGGCGAAAGACCAATCGAACCACCTGGTAGCTGGTTCCCTCCGAAGTTTCCCTCAGGATAGCCGTCGCTCGTCGGCAGCAGTCTCGCCGGGTAGAGAGAATGATTAGAGCGCCTCGGGGACGCCCGTGTCACTCGACCTCTTCTCAAACTACGAACGGACGAGAAGGGAGCCTCTCCCGATTCGGAGGCCTCCCGCGTAAGGATGCAGAGTGGCGCGTGGGCCACTTTTGGTAAGCAGAACTGGCGCTGCGGGATGAACCGAACGCCGGGTTAAGGCGCCCGATGCGGGACGCTCAGAGACCCCATAAAAGGTGTCGGTTGCTCTATACAGCAGGACGGTGGCCACGGAAGTCGGCATCCGCTAAGGAGTGTGTAACAACTCACCTGCCTAAGCAACCGGTCCTGAAAATGGATGGCGCTCCAGCGTCGAGCCCATACCCGGCCCTTTCTCTAACGTCCATATTACGGAGAAAGGAGTAGGAGGGTCGCGGCGGAGAGCGTAGAAGGTCAGGGCGCGAACCCGACTGGAGCCTCCGCCGGTGCAGATCTTGGTGGTAGTAGCAAATATTCGAGTGAGAACCTCGAAGACTGAAGCACGGAGAAGGGTTCCATGTGAACAGCAGTTGAACATGGGTGAGTCGGTCCTGATTCACTTCCTAATGGAATTATTAAAAACTTCATTATTATCGAGAGAAGTTGTATGGAGAATGGGAAAAGGGTTAATATTCCCTTACCCGGACACGGAGATAGGGGCACCCGTGTCCCAAGTGCGGTAACGCAAACGAACTCGGCGACGCCGTCGGAGGACCCGGAGAAGAGTTGACTTTTCTTCGTAAGAGCTCGTGTCCCTGGAATCTCGTCACGAGGAGATAGGGACGCTGTTCTCGTAAGAGCACGGTCGCTGCTGCCGTGTCCGGTGCGCCTCCGCCGGCCCTTGAAAAACCGAGGGAGAGAGTGTGATTTTCGTGCCGGTCCGTACCCATATCCGCAGCAGGTCTCCAAGGTGAACAGCCTCTAGTCTCTAGAACAATGTAGGTAAGGGAAGTCGGCAAGTTCGATCCCTAACTTCGGGAAAAGGATTGGCTCTTGTGTTTCCGTCCTCGCGGACCTCTTTTGCCGTATTTCTTGCGCTTCTGCCGTGGGGACTGACCGCCCTCTCCGAGGCGTGGTCGGACCCCTACGCGGACGGAGGGAAGAGGAAAGAGGGTGGCCTCGCTCCTTCGAGAGCCGGGGCTTGTGCCGCGGGACATCGTGGAAACGAACAAGAACTGGCACGGACTAGGGGAATCCGACTGTCTAATTAAAACAAAGCATTGCGACGGCCGGAGAACGGTGTTGACGCAATGTGATTTCTGCCCAGTGCTCTGAATGTCAAAGTGAAGAAATTCAATGAAGCGCGGGTAAACGGCGGAAGTAACTATGACTTTCTTAAGGTAGCCAAACGCCTCGTCATCTAATTAGTGACGCGCATGAATGGATTAACGAGATTCCCACTGTCCCTATCTACTATCTAGCGAAACCACAGCCAAGGGAACGGGCTTGGCAAATTCATCGGGGAAAGAAGACCCTTTCGAGCTTGACTGTAGTCTGACTCTGTGGCGAGGCATTATTGGCGTAGTCTAGGTGGGAGTCTTTTCGTGAGGCGGGTCTGTGAAATACCACTACTTTGATCGCCTTGTTACTGATTCGGTGATGCTCTGTGGTCCTTCCTTCGGGATGCGACGTGTTATGTGAACTTAACCCGCGCTTCGTCGAAAGCGTCGGGGAAGAGCTCCGAAGACAGTGTCAGGCAGGCAGTTTGTCTGGGGCGGAACATCTGTCAAAAGGCAACGCAGGTGTCCCAAGGCCGGCTCGGCCGGGACGGAAACCTGGCTTAGAGCAAAGGGGCAAAAGCCGGCTCGATCTCGTTCTTCAGTAAGGAAGGGGACCTCGAAAGAGGGGCCCATCGATCCTTTCGATGCGTGGGAGTCTCACGCGAGAGGTGTCAGAAAAGTTACCGGAGGGATAACTGGCTTGTGGCGGCCAAGCGTTCATAGCGACGTCGCTTATTGATTCTTCGATGTCGGCTCTTCCTATCATTGCGAAGCAGAATTCGCAAAGCGTTGGATTGTTCACCCACTAACAGGTAACGTGAGCTGGGTTTAGACCGTCGTGAGACAGGTTAGTTTTACCCTCATGAAGACGGGTCGTCGCGACGGTAAAATCTGCCCAGTACGAGAGGAACCGTAGGTTCGGACATTTGGTACTGCGCTCGGTGGTGCCGCCGGTGGCGCGAAGCTACCATCCGCTCGGATAACGGCTGAACGCCTCTAAGTCGGAAGCCGTCCCGAGAACGGTGAGGATATCATTGTGTGCCCCTCGCGTCGAACGGCAGCTCTAGCCCCTCGATGTTCCCCCTCGGCCCGCCGTCGGGGAGCGCGAGCGGGCGAAAGTGGCCCCTTCGCACGCCCGAGACCTCCGGGACCCTCCGTAGACTCCGAGGGTCCTGCTCCTGCGAGCCTGCCTCCGGGCAGACGAGTGATGTGAGTGGGCGTAGAGTCGTCTGCAGACGACGTTCTTGCTGGACGGGGTGTCGTAAGTAGCAGAGCACCCACCATAGTGCGATCTACTGAGACTCATCCCTCGTCCGGAGGACTCGCTGGCTCCGCCGGCGCCCCCTTTCCTTTTGGGGTAACGGTTCCCTCCGAGGGGACCTCGAAACACTGGAGTTGCTTGGAGAAGAGGAAAAAAAAAAAATCGAGTTTGATGCGGAAGTGGAGAGGTCCGGGACTAGGTCCACCGGAAGAGGGCGTTGTGGGCTGCGGGCCCCGGTGACGGGAGCCCTGCCGTCGGGAGAAGTGGGTGCGAGGCTCGTGTGCAAGTCGAGTTGGTGTCGAAGAGCGAGTGATGAACAGGAAGAGGCGAGAACGAGCGGTTTTGGACTTTGAAATTTTTCGAGCAGCACCGGAAGAGGGCGCCGTCTCGTGCGGGCCCTGGTGACGGGAGCCCTGCCGTCGGGAGAGGTGGAGCCGAGTGGGTGCAGGGAAGTGGTGAGAGGCTCGGAGTGAATCGGTCGCTGAGGCGAGACTTGGCTCGAACAGAGCAGGAAGTGGTGAGAACGAGTGGTTTTGGACTTCGAAATTTTTCGAGGTCCACCGGAAGAGGGCGCTGTCGCATGCGGCCTAGGGGTACGGAAGCCCAGCCGTCGGGGGGAGTTTGTGCACAGTTCGTGCGAGTCTCGTAGGGAAGACGATCGAGTTGCAGTCGAAGGGTGAAGTGAAGTTGCAAGTGATGAAGAAGAGAACAGGAAGTGGAGTGGTTTTGGACTTCGAAATTTTTCGAGGTCCACCGGAAGAGGGCGTTGTGGGATGCGGGCCCCGGTGACGGGAGCCCTGCCGTCGGGAGAAGTGGGTGCGAGGCTCGTGTGCAAGTTGCGAGAGGATCGAGTTGCAGTTGAAGGGCAGATCAAGTGATGAAGACGACATCGAGTGGTGGCGAGGAGGAGTGTTTTTGGACTTCGAAATTTTTCGAGCAGCACCGGAAGAGGGCGCTGTCGCATGCGGGCCCGGTGACGGGAGCCCTGCCGTCGGGGAAGTTGTGCAGATTTCGTGTGAGGCTCGTGGAAAGTCGCAAGACGATCGAGTTGCAGTCGAAGGGAGAGCAAGTGATGAAGACGACATCGAGTGGTGGCGAGGAGGAGTGTTTTTGGACTTCGAAATTTTTCGAGGTCCACCGGAAGAGGGCGCTGTCGCATGCGGCCTAGGGGTACGGAAGCCCAGCCGTCGGGG